ACAGTTCAACTCGTCAATGTATAAAATTGAGTAGAGACATCGGCAAGTTGGTCTTCAATCCAGTACAACTTATTAGAAGTTAAACATATAGAAAAGTAAAAGATTGTCAGTAAAAAAAACAATTTTTTTCTTCCAACAAAGTTTATAAGGATCCCATAGTGAATAAAGCAAGGTAAACATCACCAATGACTGTGAAATCTTCAGATGCAAATGAGTTATTGTGTGACAACAATGCTGTAAAGAATCATCATGTCAAACTTTAATAGAAAATTCTTTTTACTTCCAACAAAGTTTATAAGGATCTCAAGGCAAATAAAGCCTTATACTCTTTATAAATACTTATTTAGTATAGTTTTTTAATAAAGATCTTGTCAAGAAAGTCAAGTTTTTTTTTAAAAAATCTGAGCAATTGACATGATGATTCTTTACAATGTTGTTGTCACACAATAACTCATTCGTGTCTAAAGCTTTTTTGGTTATTAGAGATCCTTAAAAACTTAAAAATATTGGAAGAAAAAGTTTGTTTTTTTACGAAAGATCTTTTACTTTTCTTTATGTTTAACTTCTAATAAGTTGTACTGGATTGAAGACCAACCCGCTTACGTCTCTACTCGATTTTATATGTTGGCAAGTTAGCGTTGGCTAGTTGAACTGTCAGCAACTTGACTGTAATTCCTTAATTTAGCTGTTAACCTGCCATTCTCTGTGGGTGACCAGTTAATATGGGTTTAACTGTAGTTTTCAATTTTAACTGAGTTTTAACTCAATAGAAAGGAGATCTTGATTAGTAGTTTCAATTGTAATAAACGTTTTTTTTTTTTGTTTGTCAAATCTTTTTCAGTGTCACCTGGTGAGAGTTTAATATTTGATAATGTAAATCGTAGTCCAGATCCTTTACCAAGTGGAGCTGTTGGTATGGCAACTACAATTACTGATGTGGGTGCAATTGGTGCCAGTAATGCAGGCTTATTACCATTTCAAGTACAATTTATTAAGAACCTGATTGATGAATCACTGGATGAGTTCAGGTATAAAATTTGATTGAATTTGTGATTCATATGGAAACATTTTTTTTTTGTTGGAGGGGGGGGGGGGGACGACATTTCCTTACTGTGGAGCTACCTATTCCCCCAGCAACTGCCAATGGGAAAAGTTATTTAAACCACAGCAATGTCATGGAAAAATATTTTTTGCTGTCAGTTGAAAAATCTCTTGTGGAGTTGTCAATAAATTTAAGTACATAGGATATTTATAAATTGAATTTGATTTTTCTCATGAGGTTCATTTACCTTGCAATGTTTATTTTATTTATTATCATTATTTAACTATTAGTTTTGTTTACTTTTAGTTCAACATATTTTTCTTTGTATTGGTAGGGTTGCATTACACAGGGACATTGTTAATGTACAGGTTGAAATGCTGAGACAGTTTCAAATACAGAAAGTAAGTCTGGTCTTTTTGAAAATCACTAGAAAAGGAACTTGTAATGTTAGCTTTAATTTTAGGTAAGCTACGTGTGCATGGATGGTTGAAAATGCAAAGGAAGAAGAATTGGTGATAAATTATGATCCTGCCTGAAACAATCCTTGTTTTCTTTACAAAGAATTGTATTATAAATATATTTTGCTCTTTCTTAAAATGTAAAACTATTGCTACAGCAATCTAGCTCTTATAGCTTTAAACTGGATCTGAATTTAAGTCAGGGCTCTAAGCTCAAATGTTTTCAAAGTTTCCATTTGGTGACCTAAAATCATCAAAAGGTAACTAAAAATGAAACTTTTTCTGGAAAAAAGAAAACACGAGCTGGCAATATTTTTATGTTAATCAGGTATTCTCAAAGCTTGGCACTAGAGAAACCAAAGGGAGAGAGAGAAAAATTTTCAAAAAGAAAACATTGGAGCTCTCATTATATTTTATGCAAATTTTATTCATTACTGTCACCTGAGACCATAGGCACAAATAATAAACACATTAGAGTTTGCTACATTGCAACTTAACATTGGTTGTCATATTGGTGACTTAGTTTCATTGCCAAAAAAGTGGCAGCCAAAATAGTGACAGCTTGAAGCTGTCATAGGTGGTTCTTCTCAGCTCTAAACCTTTTCATAAGGATAAAACAAAGGATTGAAGCCTTCTAAAGCAAAGCAGTAGTATAGTGCATAATCTGGAAATATAAAAGACACAACTCATGTCTAAAACACAGTTAGACAGATTGAGAGTGATTTCATAGTTACTGTTACATTTCCTTCATACAAATAGGTGAACTAGTGAAGCTATAGTAACAGCTCTATAGTAACAGCTTTGCTAATTTTTTTTAACAGAATGAATTAAAAGGGATGCTAGAAAAGTATTCAGTCAATGAAGCCTTGATCTCTGAGATTGAAAGATTAAAAGAAGAGAACAATAGACTTAAATCCAAATATTGAGACTGTTGGGTAAGTTCTTTTTATCTTTTTCAGCAGTAACTGTTTTCATCAAAAGTCATCACCATTGATTTATTTGGTTACTATGTTTTTTTTTTTAACTAATTATTTTAAAGATAACATGCATTCAGAGAGCTCCTTGAACAAACTGTAGCACCATTGTTTGTATCTTTGATTATCATGAACTTTCACAATCATCATTTTCAAATGGTCAAATCAAAGGTACATATGGGTTCATCATTAGTCACCAGTAGTGTAACTACTTCCAGTTTCCCTGTGGTTTTTGTAAATGCCTTCCTCAAACCACTAGTGGTTATGGTCAAATCAAAGTTGTGTGTGTTCTTTCAAAGTTCCTAGGAGTGCACCTAACTTTCAATATCTGCAGTTTGATAAATGCCATCCTCAAGGTACTATTGGTGAACACCAATTACTAGATTGTGTATGAAATTCAAATGATGAGAATCCATCAATTTAGTGTTTATCATTGACCCACATTATTACTGGTATCAGTAGTTCTTTCCAATCTTATATTTCTAATTCCCTCTAAAATATCATCATACATGAAGTATGAAATAATGGAACTGTTAATGACAATCAATTTATTGTTTTCTTGATCAACAGCAGCTGTTCCTTTTACACACAGTAGATTGAGAGATACAGTACAGACACGACTGACAGAGATATGCATTGAATATATATCACATAAAATTCCATGTTTGTTGTTGTAGTTTTACAGTTTTAAGAAACAATGATAATCAAATGGCTTTCATTTAATGATTGGCTAGCAAGAATTATCACATCAGGGTTTTAGGTGACTTGGCAAGCATAGTGGAATTCATACAAAATGAAACCTACCAAGAAAATGCACAGTTAGTTTGTATCCACTTGAAAGAGTTTTCTATTTATTTATTTATTTCTTTTTGTACATTCTTGCATGCTTGCCCAGCTGACTTTTTATTAATTATATCCAAAATGAGGTAAATTCTCTTAGACCTGTGATTACTTTTTTAAGAACAACTGGTTAAAAAGGAATGATTGGTGTTGCTTTTGTTTTGTGGGCCAAGTATGTGCCAGTAACCCTTAAAGTGCCACTAACTCCAAAAATTTTTTTGAACAAAATAAATCTCCTTGTCCTGTGGATAGCAAAGTTGCATCTATTCAATGGTTTTTTTTCTATGAATTTTTAAAGATCCTGAAATTGGCATCCTTGATAACGACTGAGAATTAGGGGAGTTGGGACAGGTTGACTTAAGACATCATCCCAAGAACCTATTTGACATTATTCACATCATTTAGTAAGAAAGCAGTCACACAACAACCTAGGAAAGAACCCTAGAAGTATGCAGGGTGGCTCCATTCGACCTTGTTCATTTAGCTTTTGATTCTCGAGCTAATTTTTTGACATCACTTGCTTTTAAATGGATTGAATCTGTGGTCAATGACACTATGTTCCTTGAAACTTGTATTACATTTGGCTTTCTAGTGTTTGCTTACTCTAATGAGGCTTAATGCAATTGCAAAAATTCTTTCACTGTGATGATCAGTAAAACAAGGAAATGTATTTTATCAAAGAAATATTTTGGGGGTTAGTGGCAATTGAATATTGTACTTTAGACTTACAATGAAAATCTGATTGGTCTGGGGCAATCAATCAATCAATTTACAATAGCTGGTGAAGTTGACAAGATAAATACAAGATCTGCAGCTGATATTGCATTTATCATGTTGAGATCAAAGTGTGCTTAGTCTCCAAGCCCATCATCCATATAGTGTTCTCAAACTTTTGCAGCCTGAGAGAGGACCTCAAAACTACTTCTTTTGTAGATTGTTTTTTACATGTGTGAAAAAACAAACATTTAATATGAAAAAAACAACCTTTAGTATGATGTGATGAATTCTCAAGCCTTGTGTCTGCCTTTTTTTTTGCCCTAGCCTTTGGCTTCAGTAGACAAGTCAGACCTTGGTTTTTATAATTTAGGATATCACGCCCAGCCTCATCCACTAATTGCTTATTATTTTGTGCATAAGAAATTGGTAGTGCAAGCTATATTTCATCCATCATAATGTTTGTAAATGCATGTTACAAAATAAATTACAGAGGTCAAATATTTTCTAGTACCAGTAAACATAACTGAAATAATCTGTGCACATTTTACTAAACAGAAAGGGTTTTCTACATTTCAGCTCATTTGAAGAATCAATTGAGGATTGTAGTGATAGCTGTAATCTTTGCTGATGTGTTAATGATTGACCTTTTTCTGATTTGGAGGGGGGGAGTAATTTTTTGTGATAGCATTGAAGAATTTTGAAGATTGAAATATGTTTTGGCATGATTCATTCATTATAGGGAAAATTGTGAATGTGCAGAATCCCATTTGTAGATGTGGAACTTTAAATTGAGTTGTTAGAATATAGGAATGGTTCCTTTTCTGCTGTATGTTTATATTCTTAATCAAATGACAAGTTCAGCCATAGTCTAAAGAGACGAAAGAGTCGTAAATATTTAATAATTAAATAAGGCTGAGGAGTATTTTCTTAGGATTCAATGCATTGTGAATAAAAGATGGAACTCCAGTTTATTATCTTGCATCTTTCATCTCGATAAATTGATAAATAAATTTTAATTATTAAATTACTCAAGAAATGAAAGTATTTAAAATTCTCAAATGCATTTACAAAATAAAGCAATATGACTAAGACAGTAAGATAATGAACATGAGCATAAATCTTCTGGCATTTTATCACAAATGCTTCAATCTGATTGACTGCCTTACTTGCCATCTCATCTAACATAAGTAGAAAGTGTGGCCTTAGAGTGTGAATTTGAACAAAATAAAATGAAGACAATTTTAAAACAGCCAGTAGAATTTTCTCAAACAATATTAAATTATTATTTCTTGATATGCAGGATAGTTGATTTGGGTGTTGCCCTGATTTATCAACCAGAGATCTTAAGCTCTTCATCTATTGTTTGTTAGGCTATGTGATAAAGAGCATGAAATAAATGAATCTCCAGTGTTGACAGAATTCCTTCCCTTTTATTCAAAAGGATATCCTCCCTTGAGGTAACAGTTTTCCTGCCTAAGTAATTGTTCAAGAAATTTTATTTTATTTACCTAGCCTAGGGGGTACTCCTTAATTACTCCAAAGGTTTCCATTCTTTGAGTCATTTCACTCTGAAAGTGGTCTTACTTGGGCTATGATTTCCAACAAAACCACATTGCCTAGAGAAACCTCTGCTGTTTATATTCAAAATGAATAACAGAAAAAAACTAAAATATTTCATTTGAGTTGTGTCTATTGGTGAATTTCACCAATGCTTGACTTCAGCACTGATAGAAAGCCCACAGTAAAGCATAATGGATCTGCACACCAAGTGCAAATTTCAGAAGCTGAGTGTATAAACAGGTTTGATCTGAGAGTCCAGGTCTGACACTGAGCATGAAGAATTGCATGTTTTGCTCGGAAATGAGGTTAGGACTGTGAGAACCTAGTGGGTACAATGTAAACAAGGATTCCAAGGGGTGCCTTGCAAAATGGCCAGATTTGATGGTTTCCAATTGTTCCACAGGCATTGCATTGAGTTAAAGAGGCTCTTGTTTCACTTGATAAAGCATTCCAAGTTGACAATATTTCATTCCTCATAACATTCTCATCTATAGCTAAGTTGCCTTTGGTTCTTCATATGGTCCAAAGAAAGTCATGTTGACTCACAACAAATTTCTCTTTCATGGATAGATAAATAGTTTATTTTTTGCTTTTCTTGGTTCATCAGCTTGGGATACCTTCGTTTGGGATTCAAAAAAATATCAGCCAACGCTCAGTATGCCTGCACTAAGTTGATACTATCAAGAGACATGGATGCTTGTTTCATAGCCTTTCCCATAGGATTTCAGAAAGTTCTGCCAAGTGACAAGTGTCTGAGTTCAGCAGTTTTATGCATCATGGTCATTATATGGGTGAACCTTACTGAAGCTTTGGAATAACAAATGCTACAAATGATACGGCACCAGTCATAAGGGTCATAAGAATCTTCATTGTCAGATCTACAGTGATGCGAATTCCAAGGATTTTAAGACCCATGTCTGACTCACATAATGCCATATACTGGAATAATTGTATATCTTCAACAGGTAGATCTGCTGTCCAGGAGGTCACCTTTAACTGACATCGCTTTGAGGCTTGCACAACTATGCGATGAACCGCGGCTGCAACTACCGATGGGGGGTACAGTTTGACAACAATGCTTACCAAATCAAAAAGAACACCACCCGCATATTGCCAGAGTTTATAATTTTCACCAAATGAAGAACTGAAATAAGCAAAGCTAAAAGTGATAACATCTACCACATGGTATGCTAAAGCAAAAGAAATAACTATATTGAAATCTGCCTGTGTTGTTTCCAGTGAGGTTTGTAATTGATGGTGTTTTTTCAGAATTTCTGTTGTTTTTAATTCATGAGACTTCATTTGTTCTATAACAGTATCAATTTGTAAACTGTGAACATGGCAAACAAATCCATAAACGCTGAGCCACGTTGCCCACCAGCCTGTAGCATACACAACAACGGTTATGTAGACTGCATAGTGCCACAATTCAGAGAAGAAAGGAAGCCAGTGAATTATGAAAAATACGGCTCCAAGAGCCCATAGAGATGCAGACATTAAGGTATACCATCGAGCAATACGGTTTAACTTCTGCTGCCATTCATGTGAGACATTTTGTACGCTGTAAACGAGCTCCAAAAACTGGCCACGGTTAAAATAATAGACGGTGAAAATGAACGGACACAGCAAATTGAGGCATGTTGGAACACTGTTCATAATTTCACCCATGTGAATCGTTTCCTTTTTAAAGCCGTAATGTATAAAATCCAAACACATAACAGCTGCAAGAGATCCTAACCACAAAAAGAACACAAATCCGCGATAAACCCGCCAGGCGAATTCAAATTTCACGTTGGAGGGCTTCCACATGCCGAGAATCTGTAATATGTAGTAACAAGGCCTAATCACATCCGATGAGCGTAGCCCAACATCCACGAAAGGTATCCTTTCCTCAAAAGAATTGTAAGAAGTACTTGATGACACGTCCCTGTACCTCGAATTAATTTCTGCTCTTCCGCAAATCTCAGCTAAAGACATTCTGGAGTTATCACCTAACTCAAGTCTCAGAGTCTACAATATATTTATTGCGCTTCAGTACGCTTCAGTTTCTCACATATCGTTTAAACGATGTTACAAGAGGACAATGGGGGAGAGGGGTGGGTTGGGGTGATCTAGCCCACGGTTAAGATAAATCTCAGCTAAATAAGGAAGAGTTCAAGATGTTTCAATCACAGGTTACCACCAACTCCTCGCCCCTCTCCATTAGGTTTTATGAAGGTTTCCCTGATAAATTGCGTGCAGACATACAATGTCAGTGTAAAGTGCACAGCCTACGAACAAGACACAATGACCCGGTCAGGAATTAAACATGACTTTTGCGCAACAGCGTCTCCCACTGAGCTCTTATACTCTCTGAAAGTCCTGAAACACAAACGTGCACGCATATTTGGAGTGGAATAAAGAGGCAGTACAAACACACCAGGTCTTTAGGGCAGTGTATACTGATAAAACTTCTCAAAGTTATTAAGTAAACATAAGCGGGCAAATTCAAAGTCTAATGCATAAAAAATATGTACCGAGCAACACACGCAGAGTAAATCTTCATTAGTTGCGCAATCCTCTGTGAGTGCTTGCCTTTAAAAGGGAGAAAAGCTTAAAGACTAGAACGCGTTATTCAAGGCGTTGTCATCTCATTCTTTGAAGCTTCGAAAGGTATTCCATAGGCTAGGCAATTTTTTCTAACAGTGGATTTCTGTTTCGATATGCTCATTTCATGACACGTTTCTGCAGTCGGGTTAGAATTCAAATTTCGATCAGGTGCGAACAGATTTGTTTCCAATCCCTACATAGAATGGATCACAAAAAGAAAGAAGCTTCCAATTTTAAACGAATATATTGTCATAATATGGGGGAATGGGGGCTCTTAGAATATGCTCACCAGCTGAATTTTGGAACTCAACTGACTGGATAGAAATGGTGTGCGATAATTCACTTTGGTTAAGACTGATGCGATCCAGCAAATTATCTCATTAGAGTAGAGTAAGTCTAGAGTAATTATTGATGGGACAACTGTGATCGTCCAGATGAGGGAGTTCTTGCATAAAAACACTAAGTGACAATGACTGCTGTTTTGACAGTATCAAAAATAACAAAAGCTTACTCCCTTGGAAAGGAAAACACCCTCGATGACATTCCTGGATATATGAATGCGGGTGAAAATGATGAAGCATGGTATTCGAACTTAGAAATTTTACATGTAATTTTTTTTTAACCTTAGAACAGTCAGCAGCTTTTCAGATAATTTCATGCAAAAGATTTATTCGTGTAACGATAACACTGAGTTTCCATAATAAAAAAAAATTGCGGTCAGGAATCTTGTTTTGTGCAATAAAGCAAGCGGTTGCTTCGGATCTGAATGACAAAAAGCTACAACTATTGTGCTTGAAGGGATGATTCGTGAAAACGGTTCTTAACTCATCCCATACAGGAACAGAAACTTTCGTCGTAAAATATCTGAGGGTTAAGACCCTGCTTTACTGAATATACGGTTTTTAAAGGACAAAATCGGTAGCAGCAGAAGTGTGTTATATTGTAAACTAAGAACTTCGTTATCTTGGAGTTAGGAATATAATTGGTATATGAATCTAAACCACAAGTATTCAGCTATAGTATGTAAAAATGATTTGATCATCTCCTTTTCTCCTAATGACCTTAATTTGCAGCCTCGGTCAAGCGGTATCTTCTATTACAAAAAAAAAATACTTTCTCAACAATTAAATTTTACTGGTCATACTTGCACCATGCTGAAATTGATTTTGATCAAAGCATACTTCTCATCGTGAATTCGGCGTGGAAAAAATTGTCTGTTACCATAATAGCCGGCTTTTTGGGTTATGGTGTTAAAAGCACTCTTGTTAAAACAATGATAATCTGTTTAACAATAAAGTATGCAATTACTTCAACATAAGTTGATCTCTGTACAGGAACTTCCCGGAGATTACCTTTCTCAAATTTTCGATCATTCAAGTTCATCAGTTATCCCTTCATCACGCGCAGAAAATATACTTAACGTCGAATTTCAGTGCAGTCAACACTTTATTTGGAGGTGGCTGAGCGTGTTAAAAACAACAACAGCAACAACAACAAACCCTTAGCTAACGCACTGCATTTGTAATAACAAAATTTGCTCAAAGAGCACGTTGCTCGTTGATTCATGGAAAGGGCTGGTCACTTGAGTATGCCCCATCTTCTCCGACTTTTCTGTACATCTTTGCGTTGAGCAACAATCTTCATACACTGTTTTCTCTGTAAATCTCGAGTTTCGTTGGAGATCAAAATAACAAAGTTCTTAAAATGTTATATACTATACTACACAACAAAAGAGCACATGCGAGAACTCAGGATTGAGTTGAGACAACCCAACTGTCCGTTGCTCAGGACTTTTTTCTCATTCACTTTACTCAGTTGCACACCTTAATGCTAACATGCTAAAATGAAATGAAAACCCTAAGTTCCTACAACATAGATAACATAAAGGATAATCTAACAAAATTCTCAACATAGTGTATTTTAGAGCAATGACAATATGAGTAAACCAGCCCTGAGCAGCGATAATTTCAACCGGAACTAAAATATATTACACTAAAGCATAGTACAAAAAAGGGTATAAACTTTGAATGAAATGTGAAAAGGGAATTAGCACATATCACCTATGATATAACAGAAAGACCCAGTATTTAGTAAGATCAACGTTTTTCTTTTCTCTATTAAGTCTTTCGTTAAATATTGCGCGCCGAACAGCTAGGGAACAAAGATTAATTGATGTATCAATAGTTCTAATATTTAAAAAAAATATGGCCGATGAAGACGATTGTGAACAGGATAGCAATGTACTTTGAGAAATGTAAAAATTATCGGCTCACTTCACAGATAAGAATATGTTTGAATCTAGTCATGATAAATACATTGGAAAAACAAACAAACAAACAAACAAACTAAAATATTACATTTTTGTATCTTCTGAGGCTTTTGGTACCCATGACAGGCACGCAGGATCGATTTCCTGGTAGCTGGCAGGCCGGGATAAAGCCTTCCTCTCGTAATCATCAAACAGATCCTAAAAATTGTGAATATCAGACAATTTGTCAATCTAAAGGTGCACTGAAATAAAGTATACAGTACGCCTTCTTATTAGTCCAGAGACATTGGATCTGAAACACACGTGTTGAGTTTTCACGTTTGGCAGATTTAATTTGGTTGATAAGCAATCATTTCACACTTTATGTCTGAGACAGCGAGTTTGATGTGAAGATCATGAACATAACATCAGCCCCATCATAGATGATCAATCTGAAGTCCATTGAGAACACTCGGGTGAGTAATTTGCTCAAGTACTAGCTCTTATTTATCAACCCAATGAAAAGTGTCAAAATGGAACCCTTAAGTTTGTCAGACTTGGGTATGACAGTGTGCGTGTGTGCAACTTGTCAACTTTACTGGAACTTGTCTGGAATTATATGAGGAGCATACATTTAACTGGATGTATTTCGTTTCAGAGTCATTTAAGCCATTCCCTGAAATCCAATAAGTTCATAGCGTTAGTTTGTTTTGTTACATGCGACGCTAACCGTAGCACGGAGGATGACATGCTTTCCTTTCCAGTACTTCAGAATACCCATATACTGCAAGGTGCTGATAATGTCACTTGGATGCAATGCTGTTTCCTGGCTTATATCTGAAACAAACCAAAAAAATACTGAATTACGGCTGAACTCCGAGAAACTTTACCTCGTCGCAAAGTTTAAAAACTGAGACTTGAAAACACTGTGCCTCTTCGTGTTCCTTAAATGGGCGACTAAACATGAGTGGCTACACTATAAAACATTCGCTTGTGAAGTAAAATGTAGGATGGAAATATTAGCTGTAGTTCAGACATCGAAAACTATTCAAATGGATTACTGGGAGAGGCGGCGAAACGGTCACACATACACTTACCGGCTCGATGTTTGACGAAAATAATTGAATAAATAAATAGCCGGGTTTAAGAGTGGGTACTAAGAAGAAGACAAGAATGGAACTCCTTGAAGGGAATTTGAAAAGGAAGCACACAATTGGTCGAGGCCCAGGGGACCGCAAGAAATGACGTTACATGTCGCTTTTCATACAACTAATTCATTCCTGTTTTCTCGTCACCATATTCCCACCAATGGCGTAGCTCCACTTTCTGCATATAAACCCGCACACTGGCTATTAATTGTTAACCTCGCCTTGATCGGTGTAATACGAAAAATAAAGAACTTCTGTACCGCCTTTCACCTTTTTGGGCGCACCGAACAGACAAACACACACACTCAAAAGTGGTGTCATCTCTTGTTTGGAGTACGAGAATTTCCACTCGAGAATAGAACTTTTGGACCCCAAATGTAACTAACTCACCTTTAATAGATATCCTGTCAAATCCAAAATTCTTCAAGTATTTTAGCAAAATGCTTTTCCAGTAACTGCGGTAACTAATAAGTCCAAGATCTGATAAGGGCTTTTCTGGAGATCCAACCTTCCCTTCCACTTTCGATAGAAGATAACCTAAAGCACAAAAAGATAACAAACATTTCTTAGTATTAGTGAAACGGAAATTCAAATTCGAAATGGAACTGATCTCGAGCACTTTCTGATCAGGAATTGCATGGTCAATGGTCAAGGGAATTTTATTACACATCAGTAGTCACTGAAACTGGCAGAAGTAAAAAAATGTGGTAGTGTGGTATATTCCAGGAAAGATGTTTCACACACTATAACCGCATGACACCTTTTCTGAGAAAATATTGGCACCGTAAATGAAACAAATCAAAAGCAAAACTAGTGATCAGACGACAATTTCTGTGTTTTCTAAACAGTGGTGTGTTGAATTTACACCAAGGCTATTACACCACAATAATGACCCCAAGGAGATTATTTTAGGCTAAAATTCTCATTTTAAGCCCCCTCTACATAAGAACCTATTTAGCCTAAAATTTTAAGTTAGGTTCTTATCAGTGGGGTTGCTGTAAAAGTGTCTGCTGAATTAAGATCATCATCTATTTAAAAGTAACAT